ATTTTATTTTTTTTCAACAGTGAAAAGCCTGGTTGGTATCTACTAAAATCCAGATTTGTGGTTGTGAAAGAGGAAGGACAGTATATAGAGAATTCATTATGTGATCACTGTGCCTTTAAGGACACTGGGAGAATTTGAAAGTAATCTCTTTCAAAAGAACCAATGAAGGAGCATCCTTTAGGAAGAGAAGATCAGCTTTATTTAAAACAAAGCAGAACAATGAAGCATTTTTAGGCTGGCCACACCACTCCTCCTTTTCATAGTTTGGTTTGCTCTCTCACAAACTAACACCCTGGCATTCACATTAGGATTAAAACTGACAAGGCATCCCTTTCATCCCTAGCTGCCAAAACTCCTCACTACTAATAATTAGCCATTCCTGGCTTCCAGCCAAGAGAGTTTAATAAATACTTGAATGGCTTCTGGGCCTCAGCTGCATTTGTAGCTTTAGATAAAGAATGATGGGAGTTTGGGAACACTACTCTATTCTGAATAGCATCAGTGCAGCAGCAAAATGACTATTCAGTCTATTAATGAATGACCATTATTTTAATGTATATTTTATATTAGCCTATATATAGAAATGCTCATTCAAATTGGTCATATTCAGCTTTATAAAGTTTATTTCTATTCTTGCCTTAGGAAATGTGTTAGTATATAGCATTGTAATATTTGATAACCACTCTAAAAATCATTATTTTTATACACTTCATATAGGTGTGCTTTACCAGGAAATGTACATGGTTTTGATTTCCAGGAAAATGTTTCATAATATCCAATGTCTGCACAATAAAACAATGTGGGTGATATTTAAGAAATAGTCACTATGAATGCCTTATTTTATGTACTTAATGAGTAAATTATTTAGTTTGCGCTGTTATCAATCTTAAAATTTCACAGAACATACAACTGAATGTCTTGATAAGACTAAATATTGTATTTATTAGAAGAAATGCGGTGGAGATTGGAGTTTCTTTTCTACAATTCTGTGTGTTTTTGTTTGTTTCATAAAGAGGAGGGCATTGTTATTGCACTCTCTATGGGAAGAAAAATGTATGAGAGAAATTATTTTAGTTTCTTTCATCTTTTATTCTTCAAGGCAAAGGGGAGTAACTTGTCTCATTGGTAAAAAAATGAAAGAACTGTGCAGGCATAGACTCTTTTTTTGTGTTTTCCCCCAGAGTGAGTTCTGTTTTCAGGATACATTCATTCTCTGTGTCCTGGAGTAAGCTCTGCCCCTGTGAAGGAAAGGAGGGTGTCGCCATAGGTGTGCCTCAGAATAATGAACAAGTCTGACTTAGAAGGGTTAAGGTTTCACTTATAGCCACTGGTCCAAGCAAATATCTTTACCTCTATGTCTGCATCTCTTGTCTCTTATTTCCCAACTCTCCTCCAAGCTGTAGAGGCCCAGCGTAGCTCAGTGGTTGAGCTTTGACCTATGAACCAGGCGGCCATGGTTTGATTCCCGATCAGGGTACATGCCCAGGTTGCAGGCTCGATATCCAGTATAGGGTGTGCAAGAGGCAGCTGATCAATAATTCTCTCTCATCATTGATGATTTTATCTCTCTCTCCCTCTCCCTTCCTCTATTAACTAAATAAAAAAATATATTTTATGAAAAAAAAGGTCTAGAGGAAGAGTCAGGCCTGCTTATTTACCCTAAAACTCTAACATGAGTGAACACTGACCCAGTTGCTCTGTGGTTGATAGAAATGCAGAGTTTATGTGTTAGTGTGTCTTATTATTCTTGAAAGCTTTCTGTGCCTATTTTCCTAACCTGAAAGAAATATAGATGAACTTTTGGCCTTTGTTTTAAGGCCTTAATCCCAGAGTGGTTCTCTTCTGCCATGGTCTGCAATAAAATATGTGAGAACTTGTTTCATAAAATCTTATTTAAAAGACTGAATCAAGAAGATAAGCTCACTAACTAACCAATGCTCCCTTCCCAGTTTCTGACTTGAGATTTCATTTTGATGAAATTTGTATGAATCTTGACTAGAAAGTGAACCAGTTTTCTCCACGAATTTCCCTAGATAATGATTTCATAGATTATTAGGGGAATTTTACTATCACTTGGAACCATATTTTCAGAACAACGGCATTAAACCTCTAACATATCTTTCTTGATTTCTAATTAAAAGCTAAGTTTTATCAACATCTCTTTATCCAACAATTAGTGTAGGAATCGTCACTTTGGATGTTGACCAAGAATTAACACACTCCAATCAGGAATTCAGAACGTTTATTGCAAGAGCTGAATAATTGTAAATAACGTAGAACTGGCAAAGCAGTAACAAGGATAATTGTTTAGATATTTATTCTGTCAAAGTCATCAAACACCCCTCACAAACCCACAAAAATGTACTGCAATAAGCAATGCACCCCTACCCATTATTTCCCATTATACTGTGGAAAAATGTGAATTGCTATTTACAAAGTAATTTTATTTTTGGTAACAAATTAACTATCAGATTAGCAAACCTTTTTTTTATTTTATTTTTTCGCTTTTAAACTGATGTTGAACCGTGGCATTAAGATAACTTTCACTTCTTTCAATAAAGACAATTTGTTGCATGCTATTTATTTGTTTAAATCATCTGTCATGCCTTAACAAAAACCTCCTAAGAATGTTCAAATTTGGATTTGTTTGCACGTGCAACTGAGATCTTATTAACATTAGTTGTCACTCTGTTGCTTTGACCTAAGTGACGAGATGCTGGTACCTGCCAGGCATTGACCAATTATGATAACAAACAGTTAAACAGCAATAATTAGAGATTTATCCCTTTATTTCCCCCAACTAGCCTACCTGGAGAATGTTCTGTTACATCATGAAGGCACAACACATTAAATATTTTGTGGCTATGGTCTAACACTTGTGTTACAACAACATTATTGTATATGAGGATCAACACAAACTCGGCCATTTCAACAAACTTGTAGACACACATTTGCCCAATTTAAACTATTTTCAAATAGTAATTTTTCTTTAATATATGCTAATTTTGATACATTAGTTTTTCATGAGTGACAAGTACAGGATATTATATCACTTTCTGAACAATAATTCTTTCACTTAATACTACGAATTAAGTGATTTGCTTTTGCCTACTTTGCAAATAAGAATGTAAAGAAAATAGGTTCTGAATTTCCAAGCTTTTACAGAAATCATTTTTTATATAAAGTTTTTTACTTTTGAGCTTTATGTTATACAGAATCTCGGCATTATAAGCTATCATAAAGGAAGCAAGATTCCAGAACCTTTTTCAAAAAGCAAGTGTTTGAGATCCTTGGAACAATGTGTGTCAAGACAGACTACTAACGCAGAAACACCTCACTAAAAGAAACAACAAAATAATGACAGAGGCAAATGAAAAAAAAAAAAGGAAAGAAGCAACCATAAAACACAGAATTATGCTACACATTTTTTAGGTGAACATTATAAGTACACAAAAGTTGTTAATAATAACTTGCTTCTATTTACAAATACTTTAACACTGACTTACAAGTGTCCACTAACGTTGTTAACAGCACAATAGGTTTAATGCTTATCTTTTTAAGTTTTATTTGAAGTATAATGTCAAGTATAGCAGTCCCAGCACAAATCAATGACAAAAAGAGCACAATTCTCTACCTGGATATATTTGTCAGTCATTCTAATCCATGGAACTTTCTTACTCTCCAAATGCACATTCTATTGTTCATAGCAGCAGTCCAGGGTCAAAATAAAATGCAATGAAAGAAAAACAGAACATTTGCACAATGGAGAGATCTCTGGAGAGTTTAACCAATTCTAGTAAACAAGATCACATGGCTAATAGAACTATCCTCTCTTATGCTGTAAAACATAGTTTCCTCCATGGTGCTAACACAAAGTTATGAAAATCCCTGCTATAAGGGGCATAGTTGTAGAGATCTATTGAATACATAAAGCTCTGACACACACAGTATTAGCATGTCTATTTAGATTAAAGTTATTAGGTCCCATACAGCCTTTTTTTAAAATTTTGTATTTTTAGAGTTGGTGTTCCTTCGGACTCTCCATAGCACCTCCTGGTTGCTTATAAGACTTCAGATTGGCCAGAGGAATGTCTGTCATGTGGCTGCCATTGTTGAAATGGCCTTCATTGGAGCCATACTGCTTCCGGTCGTTGAACTGGTTCCTGTTGCTGTCTTCTTTCCAGGCTCTGGTAAGGGTGTGCCCATTCACAAGCTTGTCCTTCTTGACCCATTCTTTCTGAGGTGCAAAAGTTGAGAGAGGAGATTTGGGGTGTTGATATGGACCTAAGCCAGGAGGCATCCAGCAATTATCAGAGTGGCCCAAAACCAAGCACTCTTGAGTGCACATCTCTGTAGCTTCAGCTAATCCTCGGGGGCCCAGAGGCCCATCTGCAGAGGACAAGAGACAGAGAAAATAAGAGAAGAAAATGGTTAGAATTTTTCATTTAAAATTATCCACTAGAGAAAAAGTGCATTAGCGATCTCATTTCTCATGAAAAGTATATTAAGTTAAACAATTCAAAGATTTTGCTGTCTCTATTGATTTAAGAATAACATAGAAGGAATCAAGTTTCTTGTTACTGAGGCAAGAATTATCTTTTCTTCATTAAGCCTTTGTTTATATCCAGAAAAAAACAAAACAAAACAAAAAACCAGAAACATAGGTAATAGACACATAGGTACGCAGACAGATATGGGCAAACAGATATACCCATGTGTATGGTAGATGGGAACATGGGCCCCTTATCATGCTCCAATTCTCCCTCCCACTCTGTGGGAATATAGGGAAGGCCATCTTAGGTGGACTGTGAGACCCTGGGAACCTGGTCAGCAACTTGGTCTAAGAAAGGCCACAGAGAAACTGTGAGGCTGGATTGTAAACAGCTAATGTTTTGATCTTACACAATTTGCACACCTGCACCTGCTCCTCCCCCTGCATTCCCTGTGTTTCTCTGTAAAACTTAGTAATTTTTCTTTAATATATGCTAATTTTGATACATTAGTTTTTCATGAGTGACAAGTACAGGATATTATATCACTTTCTGAACAATAATTCTTTCACTTAATACTACGAATTAAGTGATTTGCTTTTGCCTACTTTGCAAATAAGAATGTAAAGAAAATAGGTTCTGAATTTCCAAGCTTTTACAGAAATCATTTTTTATATAAAGTTTTTTACTTTTGAGCTTTATGTTATACAGAATCTCGGCATTATAAGCTATCATAAAGGAAGCAAGATTCCAGAACCTTTTTCAAAAAGCAAGTGTTTGAGATCCTTGGAACAATGTGTGTCAAGACAGACTACTAACGCAGAAACACCTCACTAAAAGAAACAACAAAATAATGACAGAGGCAAATGAAAAAAAAAAAAGGAAAGAAGCAACCATAAAACACAGAATTATGCTACACATTTTTTAGGTGAACATTATAAGTACACAAAAGTTGTTAATAATAACTTGCTTCTATTTACAAATACTTTAACACTGACTTACAAGTGTCCACTAACGTTGTTAACAGCACAATAGGTTTAATGCTTATCTTTTTAAGTTTTATTTGAAGTATAATGTCAAGTATAGCAGTCCCAGCACAAATCAATGACAAAAAGAGCACAATTCTCTACCTGGATATATTTGTCAGTCATTCTAATCCATGGAACTTTCTTACTCTCCAAATGCACATTCTATTGTTCATAGCAGCAGTCCAGGGTCAAAATAAAATGCAATGAAAGAAAAACAGAACATTTGCACAATGGAGAGATCTCTGGAGAGTTTAACCAATTCTAGTAAACAAGATCACATGGCTAATAGAACTATCCTCTCTTATGCTGTAAAACATAGTTTCCTCCATGGTGCTAACACAAAGTTATGAAAATCCCTGCTATAAGGGGCATAGTTGTAGAGATCTATTGAATACATAAAGCTCTGACACACACAGTATTAGCATGTCTATTTAGATTAAAGTTATTAGGTCCCATACAGCCTTTTTTTAAAATTTTGTATTTTTAGAGTTGGTGTTCCTTCGGACTCTCCATAGCACCTCCTGGTTGCTTATAAGACTTCAGATTGGCCAGAGGAATGTCTGTCATGTGGCTGCCATTGTTGAAATGGCCTTCATTGGAGCCATACTGCTTCCGGTCGTTGAACTGGTTCCTGTTGCTGTCTTCTTTCCAGGCTCTGGTAAGGGTGTGCCCATTCACAAGCTTGTCCTTCTTGACCCATTCTTTCTGAGGTGCAAAAGTTGAGAGAGGAGATTTGGGGTGTTGATATGGACCTAAGCCAGGAGGCATCCAGCAATTATCAGAGTGGCCCAAAACCAAGCACTCTTGAGTGCACATCTCTGTAGCTTCAGCTAATCCTCGGGGGCCCAGAGGCCCATCTGCAGAGGACAAGAGACAGAGAAAATAAGAGAAGAAAATGGTTAGAATTTTTCATTTAAAATTATCCACTAGAGAAAAAGTGCATTAGCGATCTCATTTCTCATGAAAAGTATATTAAGTTAAACAATTCAAAGATTTTGCTGTCTCTATTGATTTAAGAATAACATAGAAGGAATCAAGTTTCTTGTTACTGAGGCAAGAATTATCTTTTCTTCATTAAGCCTTTGTTTATATCCAGAAAAAAACAAAACAAAACAAAAAACCAGAAACATAGGTAATAGACACATAGGTACGCAGACAGATATGGGCAAACAGATATACCCATGTGTATGGTAGATGGGAACATGGGCCCCTTATCATGCTCCAATTCTCCCTCCCACTCTGTGGGAATATAGGGAAGGCCATCTTAGGTGGACTGTGAGACCCTGGGAACCTGGTCAGCAACTTGGTCTAAGAAAGGCCACAGAGAAACTGTGAGGCTGGATTGTAAACAGCTAATGTTTTGATCTTACACAATTTGCACACCTGCACCTGCTCCTCCCCCTGCATTCCCTGTGTTTCTCTGTAAAACTTCGGCTATAAAACTTTGTCTTGGGAAAGTCTGGGTCTGGATGGCAGCAAAACAATAGCACCAGTGGGCTGCCCAGATGGGACTTAGCAGGACAACTTCACTGGTGGCAGCAGGTGCTGCGGCGACCTTCACAGGTCAGCCGTCTATGGTGCACACGTAAGTCCTAATATCCCCATGTCTTTCGCAGTCAGTCTCTGGGTTATTTCTTTGAAATCCACAAACAATACTCTGAGGTTTTCTGGAACCTCAGCACTTTGCATAACACCTTGATGTATGATTTCTGATCAAGTCTTTATGTGGCATATGTATTATTACAGATTTATCTCCTAATTCTTTTTTTTTAACTTTTTAAAAAAAATATATTTTATTGATTTTTTACAGAGAGGAAGGGAGAGGGATAGAGAGTTAGAAACATCGATCAGCTGCCTCCTGCACACCCCCTACTGGGGATGTGCCCACAACCAAGGTACATGCCCTTCACCGGAATCGAACCTGGGACCTTTCAGTCTGCAGGCCGACACTCTATCCACTGAGCCAAACCGGTTACGGCTATCTCCTAATTCTTAACATAAAGCTCATAGTTATGATAGATTATGAAAAATAGAAATTTTATGTGCAATGTTGCAGAATATGTAAGTACTACAACTCCATGAAAATAAAATTAAAAAGCACTACTTAAAATGTATTATTAAAAAAAATACTCTAAATAAATAAATAAATACTCTAAATGGCTATATATAGTGCTTTTCCATGTGAATATTTGTTTTTATAAATGAAATCACATGAAAATAATTTTGCAACATTTAAAAAATTTAAATGATTGTTTTAAAGAATACTTTCACTATAGTTATTACTAAAGGCAGCTGGTCAATGAAAGCATTCTGAAATTCAAATAAGTAAAGAAGCCATTTGATTCTGAAGCCAGCATTTGCTTCCTTCTGAGTTTAACCTATTTTCAAGATTTGCAATGTACAAAACTATAGCTAAGTTGCAAATTGTATCACATGGAGTCTAATATTCAGGGGCAAAAGTTATCATAGATATTTCTCTTTTATTTTTTTTCTAGCAGGCAATCTAGAACAAACATTTTGACCGTGATTTCAAAAGTAAACTCTTTTGTGATTGTGCAAAAAGATATCAGCCTATTTACTGAATAACAACAGCCAAACAGTTAAGGAAAACACTACTTTTTGTTGTTATTTTTTTTCTCCCTTGATTAAACAGTCAAGTGATAAGTGATAGCTTGGAAATTAGGAATTGATTTTACGAATGAGGTTAAGTGGATAGGTAAGAAAGCCTGAGGCATGAAGCAATTTGAAAAGCAGAGTCATCAGAATAAAAGTGTAGAAGAAAATGGAGACTACATACTAGCAAGGTTGCCTAATGAACAATTAAAATAACTGAAGAATTGAAATGTAGATACATCTCTGTAGCTTCAGCTAATCCTCGGGGGCCCAGAGGCCCATCTGCAGAGGACAAGAGACAGAGAAAATAAGAGAAGAAAATGGTTAGAATTTTTCATTTAAAATTATCCACTAGAGAAAAAGTGCATTAGCGATCTCATTTCTCATGAAAAGTATATTAAGTTAAACAATTCAAAGATTTTGCTGTCTCTATTGATTTAAGAATAACATAGAAGGAATCAAGTTTCTTGTTACTGAGGCAAGAATTATCTTTTCTTCATTAAGCCTTTGTTTATATCCAGAAAAAACAAAACAAAAAACCAGAAACATAGGTAATAGACACATAGGTACACAGACAGATATGGGCAAACAGATATACCCATGTGTATGGTAGATGGGAACATGGGCCCCTTATCATGCTCCAATTCTCCCTCCCACTCTGTGGGAATATAGGGAAGGCCATCTTAGGTGGACTGTGAGACCCTGGGAACCTGGTCAGCAACTTGGTCTAAGAAAGGCCACAGAGAAACTGTGAGGCTGGATTGTAAACAGCTAATGTTTTGATCTTACACAATTTGCACACCTGCACCTGCTCCTCCCCCTGCATTCCCTGTGTTTCTCTGTAAAACTTCGGCTATAAAACTTTGTCTTGGGAAAGTCTGGGTCTGGATGGCAGCAAAACAATAGCACCAGTGGGCTGCCCAGATGGGACTTAGCAGGACAACTTCACTGGTGGCAGCAGGTGCTGCGGCGACCTTCACAGGTCAGCCGTCTATGGTGCACACGTAAGTCCTAATATCCCCATGTCTTTCGCAGTCAGTCTCTGGGTTATTTCTTTGAAATCCACAAACAATACTCTGAGGTTTTCTGGAACCTCAGCACTTTGCATAACACCTTGATGTATGATTTCTGATCAAGTCTTTACGTGGCATATGTATTATTACAGATTTATCTCCTAATTATTTTTTTTAACTTTTTTTAAAAAATATATTTTATTGCCGAAACCGGTTTTGTGGCATATGTATTATTACAGATTTATCTCCTAATTCTTTTTTTTTAACTTTTTAAAAAAAATATATTTTATTGATTTTTTACACCGTGATTTCAAAAGTAAACTCTTTTGTGATTGTGCAAAAAGATATCAGCCTATTTACTGAATAACAACAGCCAAACAGTTAAGGAAAACACTACTTTTTGTTGTTATTTTTTTTCTCCCTTGATTAAACAGTCAAGTGATAAGTGATAGCTTGGAAATTAGGAATTGATTTTACGAATGAGGTTAAGTGGATAGGTAAGAAAGCCTGAGGCATGAAGCAATTTGAAAAGCAGAGTCATCAGAATAAAAGTGTAGAAGAAAATGGAGACTACATACTAGCAAGGTTGCCTAATGAACAATTAAAATAACTGAAGAATTGAAATGTAGATTTTGCAAAAACCCATGTTAGCACTACTACTGTTTTTAAGTGCACTATAATTGTAGGGGTTTTATTATATTATCATCTACTTGTTTTAATAATATTTAGTTCTTTCTTGCATGTTAAACGACACCTACTGTGTTAGGCAATAGTTCATAGCAAATACCTGAGATCACAAAACACAGGCGACATCAGAATGGATACTGGATGTGAAAAAAAAAGTGGCTAAAATGTACTTGCCTACACACTCAAATTTTAGTCATTTTCAAATCTAAAATATGCTCTGTAGAACAATCTTAAAATTCCTTCCCATCTGACTGGTATTCCCATTCCCTCAAAAGCAAACAGTTTTATTTTGTTTAAATACATGTTTATTACTTAAAACTATTTCTCTCATAAATCTCCAATGATTACTTACTTCCTGGGATATTTAATTGAAAACTTCTCTATGAGCCTTTCTTTGACCTCTGAATTCTGCCCACACTTTAAAAGTTTGATCCAATTTCTCTCTTTTAGGGTTGCTTTTGTGTGCTCAGTGACTCTATCTAACAGAGTTGCCCCAACCAATCCACCCTCCTCACATTTTTAAAAGTTTGATCCAATTTCTCCCTTTTAGGGTTGCTTTTGTGTGCTCAGTGACTCTATCCAACCGAGCTAACAGAGTTGCCCCAACCAATCCACCCTCCTCACATTAGGATCACAGGCTTAGAAGATGCTTTTCACCTGGCCTGTTTTCATTTCATTACTTACTCTTTCAAGGGTCAACTTGTTTCCCACATACCACACAAGCTTCCAAACTCTACCAATTCATGTCTCATCTGTACCTGGAGGATTTCCACAGACCTTCCCTCATTGATGAATAACGAATTTCCTATTTGAGCTTCCTCAGCTCTTAGCTTAATGACATTTCCTCTTTTGGGGATGAGAGGCTCTGTACATTTACGAATACCTGTTTTTATTTTTTTTCTCTCCTGACTGGATTTAAAATCCATTAATGGAAAAAGATGACTTATCAGTCTTCTGATTCCTCATAGTCCTAAGCAATAATGATGGTCTATGAATAATGTTGTCAGTTAAAATCTTATGAGATTGAGAATGTACTGAAAAATTATTACAGACATCGTCCCCTTAAAAGCAGACCTTATATAATTATAATAGAAGATGCTGATTTCACAAACATCAAACCAAATGCTTCCTTAACAACAAATCTCTGCCTAGCAATACTTTGTGACAATTAATAAAATAATTATTTAACTTCTCTTAAATATATTTGCTCCTTTCTAGACATCAATGGAGATAACGTAGTTAATAGCCAATTTGATATGCAATATATATTGAGGCCAAATCTTAATCTTTACTTTTCTAGAACCCTAATAAGTATTTATTTTCTTGTTAATATCTCCAAAGGGAGGAAAAAATAACTTTTCAGCTGATAGAATCAGGTTTTAACTGAGTTCATAAAAAAAAAGACAGGATAGAGGATATGCGAAGTTATTTTTAATATAGCCTTATCCAACATGCATTGCCCTCTTATTAAATAAAGAAATAAGACCCAAGGATTGAGAATAATGTTTGTACCCTTATAAGTATATGTGGGCCCTAAGTCTTCA